TTCATCTCTTGTCATTTGTGGACCCTGTTCTGGGTCTTTCTGGAGAGGGGTCCCAGAGCCCCTCAGCCCTGACTCCAGAGCTTACTCAAAAGAGGGACAGTGTGTGTTTTGGGGGATGTGCCACCTTCAAGGCAGTGCCTGAGCAAAGCAACCAAAGCAGATGGGCACGGAGGGGAAGGCTTCTGGGGGAGATGGCATTCCAGGGGGCTTGTAGGACAAGGATTGGATGTGCAGGGGCACCTTCCAGCCTGATGTCCTTGGGGTGTGGGAGGAGGAGAGGGCAGGAGTGGCTCCTTGAATGCCAGGATAAGGAGCTGATCCTCTACCCTAAGGGCAATAGGGAGCCATGGCAGCCTCCAGAACAGGAGAGGGGCTTGGTCTAGGTGTTCACTGGAAGCTGGACTGGGACTTGGGTCGCAGAGGAGGAGGCTGGAGTTGTGCCTGAGCAGCCCAGATAGAGGTCCGCCTTGCTTCGTTCCCCTCCACTCCACTCAGAAAGAATTTAGTTCGAGCTTTCCCTGGGCTACCGACTACATCTTCTAAAGGCATAACTTGGCAAATCTAGGAGAATATTTGGGGCCCCAGCCTGACTACTGGAGACTCCTCCTGCAGTCCCTCCTCCCCACAGCCTCAGTTTCCCCATCTGAAATACACACAAGTCAAACATAAGGGACCCTATTGTCCCAATGGTGTATGGCTTGGTTGAAGTCACAGCAAAAGCTGGGTGGCAGAGCAAAGACTGAATCCCAGCCACTTAGTGGGCATATAGACAATCCCAGAGCCCTACCCAAACTGAACCTTGGCTGGAGGAATGCCTGGGCCCTCAGAGGAAACTGACAGGAGATCTGGTCTCTGCTTCGGACTTTCTCCTCTCCTTTTCTGATTTGCCTGTCTGTAAAATGGGTATGTTTCTATCTCATAAAGTTGCTTAGAGATGAAATCAGTCAGTGGATATAGGTATTGCTCCAACATGAACTGCCTGCCACCAACTCCTATTCATACTTCAAAACCCACTGTAGATTTTCCATCTTCAGTGACCCCCCAGGATAGCCTTTGGCTCATTACTGTTCTCTGCTCTAGGATCTTCCAGCACTTGATCCCTCCTTCTGCCCCAACACTGACCTCATGAGCCTGGGAATGTCTGTGTATGCCTCTGTTTCCCCTCTGTCAGACTGGTGGGATTTTTCCTGAGGTTGCAGAATTACTCAGCATGAAGCACACGGGAATATTGTTGAATAAATGAAAAAAGGAAGGGAGGGGGCAGGGAAAGGATGTAGCGATGGGGAGCCAGAGAAGGTGGA